AGGTGTTCTGCTGGCATCGTTCAAAATTAGCAAAGCACCATGTATTTTTTAAAAAAATACTTTTTTTTAATATAATATTTCAAGAGCCTAAAATGTGGCGTGGTTGTTCTTAGAAAAGGCTTTAAAAAACCGAGGTGCTTTTCTGACTTCATTCAAGGCTAGCAAAATACTAGTTTTATAAAATTTCAAGAGTCTAAAAATAGCCTAAAAATATGGTGTGGTTGTTTAAAAAAAAAACTTTATAAAATGGAAGTGTTCTGCTGACTTCATTCGAAGCTAGCAGATCACCTTGATTTTTGCAAAAACCGAGGAGCATAAAATTTTTGAATAGGGTATAAAAATAGCCTAAAAATATGGCATAGGTTTCGACTCAATATTCCGTAGATGCTCTGCTGTCTTCTTTGGCATGCCAATATATCCTCTAGGAAGTGGACCATTTCACTATTAAACGCCTTATAAAAGAAAACTTTTTTTCATTGAGATTTTTGTTTGGATATTTTAATTGAAACACAATCTTGAATTTATTTATTTTTTGTTTCTGCCCATAGATATTATATAACCGTTCTGTCCCTCGCCCCGAGAAAAGTATACCATTTCATACACCACAATGGTCTATTTCTATTAGTGGATTTTATTTGTTGCACTATGTGTAAGTTTTCTGCACTAATCGCATTTGATTTGTTTAGTGTAGCTTCAAATATTTGACAGTAGCACACGTGTAGCATATACTTTTAACAAGTATGACAGTTCGAATACAGCGTCGAGTGTGACACTAGTACAACAAATAAAATCTAATATATATTACAATAACGGTGGTGTATAGATAACTAATAGTGGATTTTATTTGATGCACTAGTGTCACACTCGACACTGTATTCGAACTGTCATACTTGTCAAAAGTATATGCTACACTCAAGTATGTGTCAAATATTTGAAGCTACACTGAACAAATCAAATGCGATTAGTGCAGAAAACTTAAACCTAGTGCAACAAATAAAATCAACCATAATTTAATGGACTGTATGCAAAATAAACTTTATAATAAAGGAAACATGTTTAAATGGATCACATTGTGTTACCAAAAACATTAGCGTTAGTAAAAATATTATTTCTATAACCATCCTTGAACATGTAAGCAATGTGCAAATTTTATTTTTAATATCGTCAATAATTGGTTTGATAAATATTAAGCAAGTTATGTTTTGAAACCATTATTAAAAACTATTCCGACGAATTGAGAACCTCCTTTTTTCAATTCGGTTAAAAATATAATAGTCTAATATAATAGATAATTAGGTCACAAGAAAAAATATAGTAATCAAAATAACCAGAAAGCATCTTTACTAGTCTCCAGGTGAACATTTAGGAAATTTCCATAAGCAATTATTAATTGTACATACTTATATTGCAAATACATGTTGACATAAATACCATCTAGTAAAAAACTTGTTAAATATTCATAAAACAAAAAAATAATAATTTGTCGCAAACAATTCTGTTTTGCCAAAAAAATACACTCAATTTTAGGGCGATGTTTAGATAAAATTCGTTACACTTGTTAGTTCAATACACTTGACTGATAAAAAATTATAATTATATAGGCTATCAACAAATCTACAGATAAAAAAAACTGGAGAGAGTTTAAGCTGACATCTGCATATTAAAATGTCCCATCAGTACTTGTATATTCAATTTGAACTGACTGGATAATTGCTTCTGTCAACTTGGTAATATTCTAAAAATATTCCACTATTGTAAGTTATGGTACCCTGTAGCACAAAAGGATCATTATCTGAATATTTTCACCTTGTATATTTCAAAAGAAGATTCTAATTAGTTCCTAGATCAAATTAGAAATACGTTTTTCATATGAGTGACGTCTATAAAGTGATGACAGACTTAAATATTAATTAACTTAGGAATAATAATAATATTTTGTTTCTAAAGGAAATCAGGTAAACTACAAATCATAATATTTATTAAAATTGTAATAACAATCTAATCTACAGAGTACCAAAATATAAATATTTGAGAAGATAAAAACAAAATAATTATGGGAATTAACAAACTGAAGCAGATACTAGACAAATTTGATTATTTAATATTCTCTATAATTAATTCACCCCTTTCGTGAGATGACCTTAAAGCAGTGCTTGTGCGAGAAAGAGACACCTGTCATAATTATTAGTATTATTATTTCTCCAAAGGAAATCTCTGATGAAAAAAAAAAACAATCTAAAAAAAGTTCCTGGTTTTGACTAAGTGACTGCTAAAATTTTGAAACAGCTTCCAAAAAAGCAATTGTAAAAATAACTCATATATAATAAATGCGTCATTTAGAATGTACCTAAGCTTTAGAAAATAGGAGATGTCATGATGATTTCAAAACAAAGCCAACCACCTAAGGGGGTTTCTTCAAACAGTCCAGTTTCTTAACTGCCTTTAAGAATAAAAAATTACTTCCTAAAATATTGAAGAACCTAATTCCTTCTCATCAATTCGAGTTCAAAGAAAGCAATATTCTGCAATAGATTAAGTGCATAGAATTAGACAGCATTGAAAAATCATTAGAAGGAAACAAAGGGTGCTATGCATCTTCCAGGTCATAGCGCAACCTTTTGATAAAATATGACATGTAGATAGTTCCACAAATTTGAAACAATATTACCAAGACAATATTCAGATTTATTAAAATCATATTTAACCGTAAGTTACTCGTATTTCAGAATTATACATGAAGAAGCGTATTTCGCCAATGACAAACCTAATCTTGAACACGATACGAAAGTTACATTTGCAGACGACACTGTATCAAGATACCACGAAAAAGCTGCCAGAAAAATTCAAACCATGGCGCATCAAAGTTAAATAAAAGAAGTTCATTTATGCCAACTTTACAAACAAACGAAAGCAATATATTACAATCAAAATAAGGGCCAATTTTCATCCAGCATCTATTCCCGCGACTCAAAAAACCGTATACAGTTGGGAGTTTTAACGTGTTTTGGTTTGGTTTGTATACGCCTAGATCGTGTAGAAATAAAAAATTACAAGAGAATAACCATGGAGGTATGGGGATAACATATCATAAGTTAGTGAACAGAGCAGTACTGAAAAAAATATGATTATTTAAACATTATTATTTACAAATTTCCAAATAATTTCAGTAATTTACGTGTGTATAAAGTTAAATTAACATATATATTGTCTCATTTATAATTTTTAATACGGACGGTTTCATTCCAAAGATAATTTTCTCTTATGCAAGATGAATCTACCTGGATACTATCCTCCTATCATTATGTTGTTAATATATTGTTTTGTTTCATTTAACAATACAGGGTGTTTCACAAAACATGTGCTATCTCTCCTGGTGTGATTCCTAACCCAAAATTGGACAAATAGTTCCTATCAACATGGTTCCACAGATGTTTTGTCTCAAAAATACAAGGTGTTAAAATGTTAGTTTTTTTTTTATATATTTCCGATACGGCTTTAACGCTAATAATGAAATTTTAGTTGTACATTTTACCCAAAAAAGCAAATATTTTAGCAATAAAAAGATGATATCTCTAATTGTGGATTTCCTAACTGCTGATATAAATATCTTCAAATTTGAAAACCCCACATAAATATTGATACAAATCTTTTTTTGTGTTTTAATTTGTATTTGATATATCAAGTAAGTATTCAATGAATTATAAATATCAAAATTACTAAGACCACTTTGAACAACCGAAAAAATTCTGAGTAAGTCTAGTAGTACCACATTATTTCGAATAGTTGTATGGTATGTCATCTCCTCTACCAACTAACTCGATGGTAAAATTACATGACCTGGTAATTTTAGTTGGTGAATTAATGTTAAGTTGGTCTATTTGATAATGTCTACTAGTTGGGCAACTAATATCTCCATGTTTTCGTAGTGAATTAGTTACCTTTAATCTGTGAAAACAAAGAAGGGGAAATTCTACATGTACCTCACCAAGCACAACCAATTTAAACAGTAGAATGTGTGCAGGGCAAAGGGCTAACGTTAAAAAACAATAAAGTTGTGTAAACGGTAGATCTTGAGCACATATTTTTTAATAAATAATAAAATTTTGTGATTTCGACGTTGTTAATCAATCATTGAATTGTATACTGATTAGAGACTGCTCACTAGACCAAGCCCTAAACGTAACTACCAAGGCTGTGTTCGATAAATGACTCTCGTAGTAAGAGTATACTCTCCTATATAATGGGCTAGAGTTAAGCCAGGTTAAATATTTATCGAACGGTTTTGAGATAAACTTTTGTTATTTGTCAGATGTCAGACGAATATAAAATTTCTCGATTTTAATATGGATTATATGACTCTAAAATTAAAAAAAAAGGACATTTCTGTTAGTTGTAGCAAATAATTTATCAAACATTCTGTTTACGAGTAATAGAATGGATCACACCCTAACACATAATATTAATGGTAGAATCAAGACGAATTAAACGCCTCATCCTTGAATGGACACTTTTTTGTTACCATCTTTTAAATTATAAATATTGATTCCTGCGACCCGTGTTCGTATTCCTGTTGCTTTTTGGAATTTTATCTCATTGCACAAGTCGAGTAAAATCTACTTTGCTATATTGTTGGAGTACGGATAGTTAACTCAATGCCCAAAACTTCGTTTTTTCGAACGCTTACTTAACGAACCTAAATTGCTTGCCCGATAATAATCGAACGGTAAAAGAATAAAATGTACTTTGAGAGTTACTTATCGAACACAACCCAACAAGTTCGAAAAACATTTCTTTGTACTCGAACGACAACTACGTCATTTTGCATCTAAACCTTCAAGATTACAACTGATGAGGTTTCAGTATTGTAACTCCATGATTGCAAACGAAACATAGCTAACAACTCTTATTTCGTGTCAATCATACTATATAAAACATATTGCAAATCTATGTTCATTTTTTTATAATATATAGTCGTAAATAGTGTTTAAAAAGTTACTTACCATTTAGAGACCAAATATGCGATGGTAAAGAATGAGCAGCATAGACCCTTCCAAGGGCTATATTAGCTGCTCCAGACCCTAAGACACTTCCAGCCTCTTCAGCAGAACTGCTGTCAGTCTCGGGACTAGCACCAGTTGATACATCAAAACTAGCCCCTGTTGTAGGCATTGAAAGGGTTTCGTGACTAGCATGGAGATCGGGTACACTGAAAGAGGGAATAGTTCAAAATAACTAAAACAATAAGGCAAAGTAGGTATTCGCTCCGTGCGCGACCGCAGCGCCAATTCGTTTTGGTATTAATGGACTATTTCTGTATATACTGACAAATACAATTTTTAATAGAATTCGTAATTAAAAAGTATATGTTAGTTTTAATAAAAGTATATGGATTTGTAAAACAAGTAAAACATTAATTTATTATTATTATATATTTTTAACGCTTAAATTAAAGAAAATTATGTATAATCAATGAAAATCAATAATAAAATATAGGCAGGCAACAGTATTTACTGGAAAATGTATGAGAAGTTGCCTAAGTCTAATAAGTTGTCATTGAAGAATTAGCCTGTTGTCAAAATAAAAAAATACCATTTAATAACAGCATGAAGTTAAAATGTATAAAAAAAGGATCGCTATTTATATTTTCATTTTTGTTCGAAAGAAAACATAGAATGAATGATTAAAACTGGTTTCTCATCAGTAAGTCACAAAATTACATTCCATCCACATATAATAATCAAAGGCAGAAATCTTGAAATCTAGTCCTTGCTGAATGAACATTTAAGAATAAAAGGACATTAAAGAACATCGTAAAATGATAATTTATTGTTTATATAAAACCTTTCAAGTTTCTGATGTCTACTATTTACAGCATTACTGTTAATATTACCAAAATAAAGATTATTTTTCTTCTTATTGTACATCCATTTATTTCTTTGATTTAATTTCCACTTTGCTACTGACATTTTTTATATAAGTTTAACTGCTTTTTTTTTGCTAGTATTTGTACAATTGTCAACACAGCAACTCCGGTTGCTTATTGTATTGTCTGTTCCTACTTTTTTGAAAAAAAGTAAAATGTTTACGTGTATTTGATATGCCAAAATTACAAAATATCGCCCTAAAATGCACGAATTATCCGCAGCTAGCGCTAGTATCGCTTTTGCTTCCATTTCCATGACTTCGCACGGAGCGAATAGATGTATTAAACTATAAAGGAATACTGCAAATAATAAAAGAAAAACTTTCGGCCTCTGTTTAAAGAACTTGAAAAAAAAGTTTAGGGAATGGGTTACTTGTCGGAAGACAGCTAAAATAGCTATAAAAAAATTGCAAATTGACCTCTTTGATCGCAAGTTCCGCTTATAGACAGAAATATATATTTTTTACTTGAAATTTTATTATTTATTAAATTGTAGAGAGTATTCAACTGCTCAAATGTAGTCATTCATCTTCAGTCATAAAAGACAAAATAATATTCGAAATCTGTACAACATAACATTTTTAATAATAAACTATCCCAAGTTTAGACGCTATTCCATGAAACTCCGACCGGCACAGCGGTGCGGCGTTGAAATCCGTGCATCGTCTAACGTCGTTTCAGTTCGGCAGACTTCGGCACGGTGTTTGTGTGCGTGCGACTAGACGTATGCGTGTAGACTAGCTGCTAACTGCTCATAACTGATTCTATCTCTTTTAGACACAATTTCGGAAAAATTGAATTTGAAAATGAATAATGATCCACAAGAATCCACAACAAAATATGGGACCACCATTAACGCGGTATTTTCCAGATATTTAGAGGATATCAAGTCTCAAACTTATGTTTTCTTATTTCAGTTACCATACACCTATAGTTTCAATGATAAAAATTCCTGAATAACCTACATGTATTGTAAGATAATAAAAATATTTTAAACAATATTAACTTCTCATTTATTCAATAAAAGAAAAAAATGTGTTTTCTTATCAGTCACCATGCTCAAAAAGTGTAACTTGAATTAATATCAAAGAAAAAAAAATACTGCATAAATAAAATAAATAAATAATTGGACGTAGTTATGCAGAAATGATCCAATCCACAAATCCACCAGAAATGACTTGAGTAGAATTTCAATATGTTACAATCCAAAATGATATTCTGCTGAAACGATCCAACAATTTAGAAGGATATTAATAGTAAAAATTATAAAAACTCGCTATATATTCTATTGTTATCGCATGGAGAATTTAACTTTAACAATCATTTTTCTCAAAATATGGTTTGGGTGGATTGGATCATTTCTGCATAACTACGTCCAATTATAATTGCATAAGTTGATAAAAAATGCTATGCAATAGCTTTACCGCGGCAGTCCCAGAGTACCACACGTATTTTTTAATTAAAAAATATTCCAACTTTGGATGTTTTTCCAAAAAGCACTTTCTAAAATCCATTACACTTTACACAAAACCGATATTAAATTATTCATGTAATTCCGTCTTAATGCTATGTAATTTCAAGTGTTATTGCATTGCTAAGAGTGAAAGACCCATCGGGTTTTTGCGTTTAAAAAGGCATATTTCCAATGAAGATTTTTTTCAATACCAAATTTTATTTGTCTAACACTTCTTAAAAGATATGAGCAATCAAGAGGAATCTACTTACAAGATATTGTTATGTGAGCTATTTCATTATTCAGTCGTGCTCTAACCCTACAAGTCCCTCTCTGTCTTATTTGGCCTTTGAGGCTCAACTTGTCCGATTATTATACATAATTAAACCCCTTAAGACCAAACCTATGGGACGACTATGGTGGAGACACTTTCGCGAACATTCCAGGATCAACGAGATACTATTTCTAGAACGTGATAACGTTTCTGGTACATACTGGCAATTTTGGGGAGCATTCTAGATCACCAATTTGTATATAAATTGGTGGAGGAGAGCCATCAAAATCAGTTGATATATGGACAGTGAAGATAAATAGTAATTAGTAGATAGACAGTGGTGAATATAAATAGTGATCAGTTTAAAGGCATTCGAAGTATATATAAATTAAATGGTAGTGTTATACAATAAATAAGTGTTTAAATAAATTATTAATAAATAAACTGTTGTTTGAAAATAAACAAACATCACAATATAATAATCATTGTATTGAATATCTTTGAGTTCTTTACTCCACAGTAAAGTTTCACGAGTGACCCATTAGAAGATATTGTAGATAGTATAATACACATATAGAGTACTAAAAGTATTATGAACTCTATATCAGAATACAGTAGGTTAATTTATTATCTCTCTTTACCTTGTTGATATGAACCACAATATAGATGAACTTGACTATCCCATCACTGACAAAGAATTTAAAGAGTTTCTGCTAAAGCTAAAGGTAGAAAGTAGGAACAAGCCAGTGTCTCGTGTGTTAATATAAGTTTTATTAATTATTTTAATAATAAAATATGCATTTTCTCAAAGGTGGCCAATTTTCCTAATTAAAGAGTATACTTGAAAGCAATACCTCAATGTACTACTTATTAAAACAATCAAAATTAGAGGTGCGACTAGTTTCGGCCTATAAGGCCATTTTCAGGCCTGTAATATAAAATAATACTTACATAATAAGTAAATAAAGTATTAACTGTTATATACTTATGATGAAAATATTTTTAGATAAAATTGATAAACATCAATACGGATCCATGTGTCCATGTGTGGTATTAAAAAATACTCAATTACCCATTATAGTGCCATATAGTGTCATATGTCAGTATACATTTAACAAACAATGGTAGTGATTGCGCTCATAAAATCATCTAAAATGCAGTTTTCTTTGGCAATTTACTACAAAACAAATTTTGACACTAAGATGGTTAATAATAAATATCAAAAATATATGAAACATATTTTTGAAATGTAGGAGCTCAATGGAAAATTTCTTTACAAAGGGTCATGAGCTGAAAGAAAAGAGAGGAGGACCTTTGACAATATGGTTACCCTTGTGGGTAAGGTAACAACAAGTGGTATGTTACATTGAAAAACTATAAAAACTCCATAAAGGAGTGTAATCAAAATAATAATTGTCACCTCCATAGTAGAAAAGAACAGGTCAATGTGTGTAATAGTGCTTCTAATTGAGTTTTCTCTTTCGTCATTTGTTTTAATATTGGTTGGGTTATTTTATCATTAAAAAAATCTCGTATTAACAAACATTTAAATTTTACGTTTAATTATATTAATTAAAAATGTGTTCCTAATAAATCGGCCTTAAAAAAAAAAGAATAAAAATCAATAATTTTGATGATTGGATGATGAATAGTCCAGATGAAATATTCGCAATTTTTATTAAAAGAATCATTTGAGAGTTTATCCCAGTACTAGTACTTATAATTTGTTTCTATTGAAACAAGCTTAATTCCGGACGATATTAAGATTGCTACAATAAGTAATGTTTCTAAAATAGTGCTGGGAAACAGTAACCTTACCTTACATAGAATGTGATATTAATAATCATAACAGTAAAAAACCATAGCAAATGGTTGGATTGGTTATCAGCAAAGAACAAAAGAAATTTAGGTAGGTATATGAGAAACCTCTACATTTGTAAGAAACAAAATAAAAAAATGCTTTTAAATAGACATTTTTGGTAATAATTACTTAAATATATTTGAAAAGGATAATTATTGGTTGGCAAATTTGTCTATTTAAATGTAGGTGCATACTTTTATTGATGGGTAATAAAATTTTCCAATAAATTTTAATTCATATCATAACAGGAGTCTTGTTTTTAATTGTTATTGTGCATAATGTACTTAAAGGAGTTTGAATCACTCTGTATTCAATGAATTGTTCTATTAGTTTGTACCTACCTTATTATAAACACAGCAACTTTTACCTTTCATTTAGAAGACTATAAATATGTTAATATGTGTATTATAAAAATTAAAATGATTGTGTTCTCTCAACTCAAGGCCTGTATCATTTACAAAGCTATTACTTCATTTGCATTATTAGAACTACTTGTAATTAGAAGTATAGTTAGGCTTCTATACATATATACAAGATAAAAACAATTCAATGAAAGACACTTACTTATGTAGAAGCTTAGTAGGGGGTAGTTAATGATTACACTTTTTTCTTGCATATTACCTGGAAAGCGATCGAGCCCTTTGCCTGTCGTTAGACAATTCGTTTCCTAGGGCTCGCATGAAGCGAAAAGCGGGAGCTGCAACTACTTCGCTGCTACTACTTGTTGAAAAGGCCCTTGTCCGCGGACTTTGGGTGCCATTCGCGGTGCTCGGCTTGGCGCCCATGACTTGCAGTATTGTATTGCTATCACAATGTTGTGAAGGGTTTATTAAATTACATATTGTTTGAAGTCATACACATGTCATAAATCACATTCATTTTCACCTGATTTGACAGACGTCATCTCCACTGTTTTTACTTAAGCCGAACGACACGATTTAGGAACAACGGCAGTTTATAGTCTTTGTGTTTTACTAAGAAAGAGTTCACTGTTTACGTTCACTCAACAAAAGTTTGGTTATTGTTTTATTTTTAAACTTGCACGTTGAAGAAAGGCATTGCAAAACATTTCGCCTGCCATTATCCTTTCAACTTCAAGTGTTTGACAACTTTGACTTTGACACTTTTGACAGTGACGTATAATGCAGAAAACTCTTCTAGTTTTAAATTATTCTTTTATTAATTGCTATCTCGCTATACGGCCAACAATTTTCAAACTATTTAATAAATTTTTGTTTATTTCACAATGCCCATGCGACATATTTTTCTCTGAAATCTAGAAATAAGTGTAAATATAATTAAATTAGTATATATTAATAGAACTGATCAGAAATGGAGTATATTACATTAGCGCCATCTAACGAATTTACTTTAATATAGGTAGTTCATCTAATTTCTCCATGATGGCACTGCATGTTTGGAAATTAAAAAAAAAGACATTCATAAAGGATAATCACAATTAAAATGAATGTATAGATTGTTAGACGTAAATTCACCGTAAATTATTGATCAACAGGTGGCCGCTATGGTTACTGACTGGCAGTCTTGTCCCAGAACATATTAATATTTAAAAAAATCTGATGTGTCCAACACATGACTTTCCTATCTAGTTATTACGTAAAAACAAAAAAAATCAGAATTTTGCACATTTTGTCAAATTTCTCGAATACGGACCATTTCAGGAAATTTTGACATAAAACAAAAATTATAGAAAATAATATTAGAAGTAACTGTTAATTGAACAATTTTCTTCTCCAAACATAAATAACAGATATATTCCATAAAATATAAAAACGGTCTCCCATAAAGTACCCCCCCAGATGTTCCGACTTTGTCCAAAATCTAATCATTGCACGTCAGGCCGAAATAAACCTTAAGTTTAAAATTTAATGTTTTTTTCTATATCCGTTTTTGAGTTTTCTTCAAAATTCGAAATTTACACATTTTCTCAAATATCTCGAATACGGTCCATTTTAGAGAAATTATGTATAGAATAAAAATTATAGAGAATTATATTACAAACAACTTTTATTTGAACAATTTTTATAAAAAATTATTTTTTTTACATTTTGTCAAATTTCTCGAATACGGACCATTTTAGGAAAATTTTGCATATAACAAAAATTATAGATAATTATATTAGAAGTAACTTTTATTTGAAGAATTTTCTTCTCCAAACATAAATAACAGATATATTCCATAAAATATAAAAATGACCACCTATAAAGTACCCCCCAGATGTTCCGACTCTGCCCAAAATCTAATCAGCTCATTGGACGCTGAAACAAAGCTTAAGTTTAAAATTTGGTGTTTTTCTGTGTATCGGTTCATGAGTTATGCGTTATACAGACACACACACACACAGACACACACACACACACACACACACACACACACACACACACACACACACACACACACACACACACACACACACACACACACACACACACACACACACACACACACACACACACACACACACACACAGACATCATCGCGAAAATAGTCAAAACGGATTCAGGGGACCTCAAAACGTAAAAATCCGTCGAAAACTCGAGGTCGAAAAAAATCATGATTCCTATGCTTTCCTTATATCTGTATACAGATAGGAAAGTAAAAATGAGTTGTAAGGATTTTTCCCGCTCTTTAATACACGCAGTTTAAAGACAGGTTCTGAAAGAATCTTGGAAAATGATCAATTTTTTGTCTCTTAGATTAGATTAGATTTAATTAGGACTGTGGGCTATGTGGCCTCCCCCACCTCGACCTTTTCAGATCTATTGTTGATATATCCTTTAATCGTTGTTTAGAGTACCTTGGCTAATTCGGCCTTCTGCAGTAGACTCCATAGACCGTTGGTTTTTTTTTTCAAAGTGTAAGGAATCTCAGTCTTGCTAGACCTTCGCAGTAGCACAATACGTGTTTTGCCGTGTCCTCCTCTTCCTGCCAGAATCGGCACAAGGTCTTTTCTGTCAGACCGACATTATACATATGTTTGTTAAGCCTACAGTGTCCTGTTAACAGACCTATTACTAGTGCGCTAGTATTTTTCCTATTAAGGCGATGGTCCTTTTAAGAACTCTTTGGCCTGTCTCTGTCCTGGTGAGTTTTTCCACCACTCCTGAGATTTTTCAAACATCCACTGGTTTTGTACATGTTCTGATAGTTGTCTTTGTGACACCACAGAAGGGTTCTGGGCCAATAAGAGCCTTGGAGGCTCCTTCTCGAGCTAGTAAATCAGCCTTGTCGTTGCCCCTATGTTCTCTCTGTGGCCTGGTACCCAGGCTAAGGTTAGTCTGTTTTGACTACCAATTTCTGTTAGGGCTTCCAAACAGTCCCACACAAGCTTTGCGTGTACCGCGTGTACCTGCATAGAACTGAGTGCTTTTAACGTCGCTTGACTGTCAGAGTATATGACAATGGTTTTTCCATTTACCTTCTGCCTTAATACCTCTTTTGCGTAGTGATGTATTGCTGCTATTTCTGCCTGGAATACCTAAGCTCACTGAGATTCTTCTCTGACTTGGTACTATACCACCTACTCCTGAGCCTGTATATCAGGTGAATTTTGCATGAATAGGAGGTCCTCCCGTCCACACGCTTCCCTGTCTGGTATACTTACTTTATATTGCTTTTGAATGCTATACTTTGGGAGCATTTCGTCTGAAGGCATTCCTATTATTTGGTCGTTCTCCAGCTCTTTATATAGCTCGCTGTAGTCGCGTTCATGCAAACTGCTTATGAGTGATGAACCTTTGTGCAGTCTCTATGTGAGAGACCTGGCTTCGCCTTGAATGAATATATGTGTGTTAGGTTTAGCATGACTTCTATAGCTGCTGTTGGAGTCGTTCTCATGGCTTCCGTGGTACTCAGGCATGCTTGCCTTTGAATACCATTGAGCTGTCGAATGGCTTCAGCTTGCTGAGTCTTTGGGCACCATACCACCGAACCATAGGCGCCGGAACTCAAAAATTGCTTTGGGTGCCCGGCCTCTATGTTACCACTCCCCCCATTCTCCCCTCCATATCCAACTTAGGGGCATTACCGGTTTTTTAAAAGCACTTTAAAGCTATTTTAAAGCGTTGATTTTATGAAAATTTTCTTGAAAAAAAAAGGTATTGTCAAATGTCGAATTGCTAGAGTTTTGAGGATTGAAGCGACAGATGGAATATCAACAATCGTCAGGCTGGAGGCTCTCATCTAGATCGGAATATCTGGCATCTGACAATCCTATATGATATATGCTCGGTGCAGCCACCACTGGTATTCAGTGGTGCTACGGTGCTAGAGTGCCAATGAAATAAGTAGAAACACAATAAAAAACATTTGTTAACTATCATGAATTTAGAAGGAGATTTTTGATGATTTATTAATACACATATAAAGGAGTATTGTATATACAAAGGGTGACCATTTGAAAACAAAACAGGGCCAATTTTGGGCATGCCAGATCATTTATCAAAAAAAAACGCTTGGACCGTCAATTTTTTATTTTAGGGAGAAACTTGTTTTTGCCAGTTTCACCTTCTGAACGGAAACCCTCTAGCGGGGGTCACATTCACCCCTAAAATCTTATATGGAAAGAGAAGTGAATGATAGCTTATTTCAAAGTATTTTTACCTAGATTATAATCCCCGAGTTTTAAATCGCTACTGTCTTCCTAGCCATGATCTTTTAACGATTTTTATTGTCTGTAAAAGCTTACCAGTTACTCGACTAAATGCTGGAAATGCCGACCATTTGCCTCCATGCAATAGTAGAGGGTTTGCTTAAAATGCTCTCGGACATTTTGAAGCATCTGTGTGGTGACTTCATGACATTCATCAATTATCCGTTGTCGCAGATTTTCCAATGATATTGGCTGGGTGGCATACATTTTAATTTTTAAGTGGCCCCATAAATAAATTTAACGGGGTTAGATTCGTAGACCGTGGGGGCCACTCAATACTTTCTCTTCTTCCGATCCATTGACCTGGAAACGTTTGAACCACATACTAATGAACAGTCAGTGCAAAATGGGTTGGCGCACCATCTTGCTGGAATATTAAGTTGATTGCTATGTACTGATCGTCATTCTCAATCAACTCTAGTAATGCTGGATAAATGGCGTTTTCTAATAATTCCAGATACATATCTGCAGTTAAAGATCTAGGTAAAAAAAGGGGCTTATTATACGGTTAGCAAAAATGCCAGCCCAGACATTCAGTTTTTCCAGATGTTGCGTATGCACTTTGTGAAATATTCTGGGATTTGAATCGGAATAATAATGACAGTACATTCTTTCTGAAAAACACGTTGAAAACAAATTACTGATCATTTATCGTTAAGTTCTTTTACCAGATGTATTTTGTAGGGATGAAACTTGTATTTTTTCAGTATCTTCTTCTTTTAATATCAGATGTTATCGCCAACTGTTTTGTACTCAATGTGGGTTCTTGAACAACATGCCCTAAAATCACCACCTATGTAGCTTCATTTACTACAGCATTTTCCATTTCACGTTATTTGTTAGCTATTGACCCCGTTTCCCAAAATTTTTGGACTAACTCCAAAATATAATTTTGTTGGACTTGTCGATTTTGATGTTCATTGTTAAACAGTTGGACAGTTCTATTAGCACATTCATTGTTTGCAAAAAAATATTTGCACCCTCTCAGCAAATGAGTAAACCATTATCACTGATATCCCACTTTTATGCCGCACCTACAACGAAACATACTAAACCTTACTACTTTGCGGCGACCAAAGAATGTTATCTGATAATAATAATTGAAGGCCACAGGAATAACACTAGAATTGTTACAAAAAATTCCTATTTTTTTTAACAATAATGTAAAAATTATGTTAAACCGGTTTTGTACTTTTGGTGAGCCACTGTATGGGCTACGTAGATAGTAGCGATGTAGATATAGTAGCGATGTAGATAGTAGCAGTGTAAAACTCAGGAGTTATAATCTAGATAAAAATACCTTCAAAATAAAATATCTATCGACCCCTCTTTCTATTTAAGATATTAGGGGTGAGTATTACTCCCGATATAGGGTTTTCGCTTAGGGAGTTTTTTAGTAAGTAACCTGGTTTCTCACCAGCACTACTAAAGAGCTGTTTTCTGATTCTAA